AAATAATTTGGTTCAATTCATAAATAAGTAGTGCATTTGGTAAACTAATCTAAGTTGAGTAATTTTAGTGTATACTTTAAAATTAGTCAATTTAGGCAGAGCAGCTTCTGTATGTATTAATAAATAATTATTTATAACTATTTTTTGTTACGTTTACAATAAATAAATAAATAATTATTTGTACAATTTTTTAAAAATTTTTTATTGTATTCTATTGTAACTTCAGTAAACTAAAACTACTAATAATTTTTTTTCCCCGATCGTGTCTTCGAAATTTTCCATTTTGATTTAAAAATACTTTTGAACAGGGACCAACCAGCATTTAAAAAGAGATAAATCACCTGCAAACTTTATTCGTAGCTGCAGCACATTGACCAACCATGATTCATACAGAAGCACGTTGGCCTGTGCTGACTGGAAACGAAAAGCAAATACAATAATAAAATACGTTTCAATGCAGAGAAACGAAACAACTTTAAAAACGAATAGAGGCAAAAGGTCCAACTAAAAAAAGCTGAACTGAGGTGCAATACTAAATGCTGGCACAACTTGATAGGACGTCAAAAGTTAGAATAACGTAGAGTAAATACGTATAGACAAATAATTATACATACTACAGTAAACCTAGCAGAGCAACATTGTTAACTTTTCGCTCGTTTTTAGTACATACCCTCTTACACCATAGAATTTTTTTGCAATAGCCTAACTTTTGTAATCCTGACAAATTTTGCTACTCTTAAGTATGTAAAAAAAAAAAAAAAAAAATATTAATAATCTATTATTACACAGAGTGGTCAGTAAGCGCCCCGGGTCATTGGGTGATAGGCGCTTGTGTTATAAATAATACTTTATCTATCTAAGTTGCCAGTAAGCGCTCCGTGTCATTGGGTGATAGGTGCTTTTGTTATTGATAATTTTTTATTTNATGTAAAAAAAAAAAAAAAAAAAGTTGAGCCAATAATTGACAATAGCTCCTTCCCTTCTTCCTGACTCAGACATCTCGGAAGACATTTTATACGGCTGCTCCAATATAAGTAACAGAATTTTCAAATCCCCAGGACACTACGTGCTGACGTCCTCTCCAACGAATAAGCAAACGGAAAAATAAGTAGTGATCACGCTACTAACATTTTGAAATGTATTCGTAGCTAACAACAAATTGAAATGACTGACAAGCTTAGTTAAGTTAAGAAACAATGGGTCACGACAAACACTTGATTAGTGTTTGGACCACAACTACAGCCACTTCAGAGAAAAGTGGTTGGACCGCTGTTAACAATTACTTTTTCACGACTATCAACTTGTTCGATTAATGTATTTGGCAACCTTAGTAACTATTATAGTTATTAATGTATAAAAACTACTACCACTAAACCTGTCATGAATATAGCAACATATTAAACGATTATTGAATCAACACTTACATGAAATATTTGGAAATTTTCACCGCTTTTGTTGCTACAAAATTGATTGAATAAACGAACCATGCTAAGTCTAAGTAAATTTTTGTAATATGTTATTATAATGTTATAATAACATATAACTAAAATTTTTGCTGGCAAGCTTTCCTGCGTCGTTTTCCAGCTAGCGCGTGATCGAGGTCCGCTACTCATTATAAAAAGAGCCTGGATGCATAAGAAGGACACAGTACAGCTCAAGTTTTACCCTCAAATGGTCCACTGGATAGTCAAAGTCCGGCTCTGCTATCTTACGGTCCTCCACGAGTGCGGTTTTAAAGTTTCAACCTTAGACTCTTCGCGTCGCTTCATTACGTGTACGTTTGAATATCCAAAAATAAACGTAATTTGATTTGAAACATTGAAGTGATTAAGTTTGCCTTTCCACTCCATTCTAACGCAGATGTGTTTTTGGAGTTCGCATTACGGTGTCGGTAAAAGACCACACTACGAGGATAAATAACAGAATTTTTCCTTACATAAAGTCTAGGACAATCATCTCTACTCAAGACGGTATTGGTGGCTCCTAGACCGGCCTCGAATTGAAACCATTTCACCCCTTGCGTAACCTGTAGACCGTAACTACCTTTACTCGTTATAGTATTGGTAACCTCTAGATCGTGTACGGGATATTATTTTGACACGTCACGCTGGGTATTCTTGACAAATCAGAGGCGCGCCATGAACGAGTGCCTCGCACTACTGTTTGACAACCGCTTTAATTCGATTAGAACAGTCGGGCTCCCCCCCCCCCCCTTTTGAACGCCTGGTCAAGGAATTAAGCTACCTTTTAGCCCCGCATCTTACCTACGTGCCCAGTGCAAATCCCAGGTTATTAACTGCAAGCTTAGACTCGAATAATACGTCACGCGGACGTAACACTATAAAAATATTGACTGATTTTTATTGCATTTTATTTTTCCACAATTTTTCCATGCGGAATCGAGATGATTTTTTGACTTAAGGACATTTGTCACACAGTTGGCAGAGGGAAAGCTTAGAGAGATAAGAGGAGCGCCATTATATGCAGTGACGTTGGCAGTTATTTTTTTTATATAGATTCACCTACATACACGCTTTTACGCATACTTGACCTGTTTTGTTGTGTTATTAAAAAAAAAGGTTTCAAATCTCTTTCAAATTTCATAGGTTTATTTTAAAACAATCTTTTATACAAATCAAAATTGGGAGATTTTTACATACCATATAAATAAAATTTTTCATGATTTTTTTTATAAGGTTACATCTTCAATTGCTATTTTTTAAAATTAAACGTATAAAAATGAGTTCAGGTGGACAATCTACAAGTTTTTTAGATATGTTTATGCTACCTTAAATAAACGTTTTCTGTTTAAATAATATCTGCCAAAAAAATCTACGTGTAATTGACGTCCTAAAAGGACATTCACGGAAATTTAACACTACTCTACTGAAGTAAGCGGTACTACAGAAGAATTCTCCTTACCCTTTTAGATATAATTACTTTTTAGGTATTTAATACGGATTACAAATAAGTGTGTGAGTGTATGTGACAGTCGTAAATGTGATTTGAAAAATATAAACAACGTAGACCGTAAGAAGTTGTTTTGAAACCATCAGATAATTCGATAATAGTGCACAGTTTTGTACTGACAATTCTGTATATTGTTTATACTGTATTCAGTCGTAGTTTGTTGTTTGTAATCGTTGACTTACCTAATATTTAAATATTTATTAAAACAAGACCAATTTATTGTCTTTTTCCAACTATAATTTCACCACCTTCATACACAATATTGTTTTATAGAAGGTGTACTCATATTCATAATTGTATTGAATGCCATATCATTTCATATAACTATAATTTAATACTTGGGTTCCCAAACACCCACTGTTCACGTGTTTGTTTATACCAGCAAGTGCACCCCTAAAGATAGAGAATTAAAAACTCTTAGGTGAGGGTAGGGAAAAAAATAGTCTTGAGGACTCACAAGAGTCTCAACTATACTAAAAATCACAAGAAGTTGAATTGGAAGGAAAACTTCATATGTATCTTATGAATACAATTTTTGGCATCAAGAAAATGAGGAGAGAATTTATTAAGTCAGAGATAATTTTTTTACTATCACCCTCATAATAATTAACCTCTTTAATCTTTCAGATTTTTAAATAGGTATAATTTGTATTTTTGCTGGGATAAAAAACGTAGAGATTGAGCTCTAGAACTTTGTTCCTCTGCTGGTTTAAAGTTGTGGGATAAGAGAAAAGAATTTTTAATTATATATTTTTTGTGAGCTTTAAATCTTCACAGCTTAAAAAAATAGCCGTGTTTATAGATTATACGAGAAAAACTCCAAGTTAACGGCCTTTTAAGTCCAATGATTATTTTATGGTAGAAAAAGAGCACGGTACTTTTTAGCATTATTATATTCTTTTTACTTTTCCAGCTTCTTAGTGGACCAAGTTAACTGTATGCATTTCGAACAAATATGTTTTTAATAAAAAAATTTTTTGTTCTGAGAAGTGTTAGAAATAGATGTAAAATTTTTAACTGAAAACGCTTTACATTACATGTCATTACACTACGGTGTTCAATTTAGTGAGTCTCGGGTGAAGCCAAGACAGGGGGGCCGCTAGTTATTTTATACAGGGTTTGTAACAGCCTGTCCACAGATTATTTTTTAAAGGAAGCTAAATTGATAATTCAAGGTGATCATAAACCCATAGTGCTTCTTTTTACAGAATCCTTTCCATTGCAATGACTTGCAGACAAATACAAAAAAGAAAAGGTTTGGTTTGACCCTTGTTTTCATGGCATATCATGGGAATCAGAAATTTTTTTTTACAGTTTTTTTGGTAAAATTTTTAGAGAACGTTCAAAAATTATTAAACGTTAAAGATGTATTTATTGTGTGATTGACTCTTGGAGACAAAAATGGTGAGAAAAATTTAGGCTTAGGCTTATCAATATTTAAGATTTTGGGAATATACCCTAACCAATAAAATAAAACGGGTAACTAAATTTTTATACTATCATAAAGCATATTAGATATCCTGTGCTTATCACGATATGAGACTATAAACATTTTTTTACCGCTTTCACCTAACTCACGACACCAGTGGAAGATTAAAAACATAAAAAATTAAATAATTGGTTAATTTCGGATAAACACTTTTTTTGGCCTAGCATTATTCGTTTTAAGTCTAAAAAAATAGTCAGTTGGTGCTAGGGTATTAAAATATAAAATTATGCTTCTATAGCAGACAATATATAAATATAATCATACTTTTTACCATTATTTTCTCCAATTAAATTTTTATCAACCAAAACCGTTATTATATCACACGTCTAGAAAGTAATAGCATGTCAAAAAGATTAATATTAACACAATATAGCAGTTTCAGTACATAAACAAATTAGATCTATTGAATAAATTGATACAATACATTTAGGTAGAAAAAAAGTGAAACATACAAGAGTGTAGACACAGACAATGAGTGTGGTGGTAGTAATAGACAATAAAACATTAGGAAATTGAGCAAATGCCGAGGTATTGAACTCACCTATCACGAATATTGCGACACTCCTCATCATCTTCTTCCTCAATGTCATGGAGCCGGGGACTGAGTCGGTGCTGGCCACCAGTCTCGTAGGCCCCATCTTGGTGCTCCACAACATCTTCAATCTCTTCCTCTCCAATATCATCCTCCTCCTCTTCGAGGTCCCCCAGGTATTCGTCAAGACCAAGAGGTAAACGCTCCTCCTCTTCCTTCTCTACCTCAACCTTGGCTCCTTTGATGCCCTCCAGCTCCTTTTCGTTGGCAACCCCACTACTAACGTTACTGGAGTATTGTCTCAGTTGCTGTTGTTGCTTTTTGTGCTGCTGTACGATAATGTATGGGTGGGGGTAATGGTGCTGGTGGAGCTCCAAGTACTTATCGATGCCACCACTGCTGCTGGTGGGCAAAACCCTCGGGGCGTTAGAGCTAGTCCCGGTGCCAGCGCCGCCGCCGGCGCACGGCAGGCAGCAAGACAGCGCACCCCCCACCTCGCTGCCCTATCGTTACTTTTCTCTGAACAACACCATCAGCAATGAGATACAGATGTCCTTGCTCCTCTTCTCTTGTGTCTGTTTCGCTCGCTTCTCTTATCACTATTTTTGGTAGTAAGACTTGCTTTAACTATTTGCTGATACAGTAACAACCATTTGTACGGGAGAAAACAGTTCTCAGTTTAAAACATGAGCAGTGACTTTACGTATCGCTTTTGATTATCATTCCGCTGTATGCTTGTAGGAAGTACTTACTGCGTAAAAATTGCAAGAGTTGATTAATTGTTATAGTAAAATTAACTCTTGTTTTACTATGTGTGTAATCTTAGCAATAAATCAAAACTAAGGTTTGACTTATTGAGATATTAGATAGCTCATTTAAAAGTAGTTCAGTCTTAACCAGAGTTTTAAAGGTTAATAACATATAGCACTTGTTGTAACAGCTGTAATAATACAAGTATGATATACTGTACAGAAAAAGAGTGTTGAGTCTTATTTCAAAGACCAAATGATCGAAGATGTGATGAGTTTTCGGGAAATTGAAAAAGATGAACAGAGATTAGTGAAACGTTGTGAGAGGGTGATGGCTGACAGCTCGATAATAAGTTGATGGATAACGAGAAAGGAAGTCTTTAATAAAAATAGACGTTTTTATCCATTTATACTGCGCTATTGAATCCAACGAAAAAGAGAGCAATTTCTCTTTCTTTAAAAATGTTGCTATTGCGGTACTTTTAAAATTTTCCTCAGATTTTTAACTAGTAAGTATAATAACACTTACACATGTAATACGAAGTCACGTATGTATGTTAGTTGAGTTAATGCACTGCCTTTTCTGGCATGCATATAATATCCTGCCGATAAAACTTAATCGCAGAACGAGTAGATTACGTGTAAAACTTTAAGCTTGTACTACTGCTGTAAAGTTTTTTGTTTTGATCCCTCACTTGTAATACATTTAGGGATCTTTTACCTTTTTTTCTGTTCTTCTAACGGTGCCATAAGCATGGCTGACCTTTTTCCTCCGTTTTTTGCTCTTTTTATAGTAATATACTTTTATCATACATGTTTTTCACTCTTGCTCTCTGTCAATTTAAAAAAGAAGTAACAGAAAAAAATAATCTCTCTACTATACATACGGAAAAAAATAAGAGAGAATAATAAACAGCAGCAATGGTTTTTAGTCTCTCTTTAATTAGTTTTTACCTTCGTTATGTTTTGCGAACCTTTTTTCTGGAAGTTGGTAGCAGAACTCTAGAGATTGAGATCAGAGCAGAGATAAGCTTAATAGCCTTTTTTGTCAGGCCATTTGACTAATGCATGAATTAACTTCTACTTTCTATTTTCTTGCATATTATATTACTACTTGCACCCCTCTTTGTTTTTTATTCTGTTTCATCTGGTAAAAATGACAGCACCAATGCCATGCGGATACTAGATATAGATATAACGTGGATAGCTATGCTTGTAAGAGCTTTTTTACATCTTATGAGAAGGGAAATAACGAGAATTACATTAATGAAAATCAGGGAGAAACTTTTTGGGAGCGAAGCACTATCTCTGACTTTTACAATTTTTTTTGTGACACTCTTGTTATATTATTAAAATCTGTTATATTATGTAGATAAGGAGTAATGTAAGACTATTATTTTTATTTCTGCTTTTTCTTTTTTTAAATCAAGCTGTTTTAATTTTGCGAGCTCATTGATACTAATTATATCAAAAACAAAAAGAAAACGATGAGAACGACAGCTTGCCAATGGATCGTGTTATTTTCCCTTTATAGATGATTGTCGAATGCACTGGATTGTGTGTAAAAGATTGGTTGGAGTAGATGATCGAAGTCACATGTTTGTCTATTGGCACTGCATAAAAATTAAAAATTTACAATGTATTTGTTAATATTATAATAATTATGAGGATAAGTATAGCAGTAAGTGTTACTGTTGTTGTTATAACTATTACTATTTTTTTACTATTATTACTGTTATTGCTTTCATTATAATTCTCATTATTATTATTATTGTTATCCATTTTTATTATTCTTATTATTATTATTATTATTATTATTAGAGAATTAAAAACTCTTAGGTGAGGGTAGGGAAAAAAATAGTCTTGAGGACTCACAAGAGTCTCAACTATACTAAAAATCACAAGAAGTTGAATTGGAAGGAAAACTTCATATGTATCTTATGAATACAATTTT